CATTTTTCATTATTATTATTAATATTATTATTATCATTATCATCATCATCATCATCATCATGATTAACATTATGATTTTTATTTATTCAGTTTTAAAATATTATATCCTAAACAAATTTTAATTATTAATTTTTTTCTAAATTATTTTCTTTTGTAACTATTACTACTATAATAATTACTACACTAAGAACTATTATAAGTAGTAGTATTTTTTATTTTTATTATTATTAATTTTTTTATAATCATTATATTAATATTATTATTATTTTAAATATTTTAAATTATTTTTACATGTACTATTATTATTATTATCATTAACATTATTATTACCCGGTATTGTTGTTGTTGCTAGTGTATCATTAATTTTCCTAAATTAATGTTTATTGTTATTTTCATTATTATCATTATTATTATAATTATTTTTATTGTTAGCATCATTATTGTTTTTCTATTATTATCCCATTATTATTATTATTATTATTATTATTATTATTATTATTATTATTATTATTATTATAAGATTCAGACCCGTTCTAGGAAAGGGGATATAGTGAAAGGAAATCCCAAGATAAAATGTTTGTAGCTGATCCCTTGCCGTAGGAGCTCTGTGTAGACAACATTGCTGGTACATGCGCCATCTGGAACTCCGTCCTGGGCAGAAGGTCCCTTTGCTTGTATCCTAATACTAATAGAGTCCCTGGCGCGACTCATTGCCACATACAATTGTCAATGAGAAAAATACTGGCCCAGTAAAGAAACCCCTATTCTTTTCAAAGTGATCAAAGTCTGTCCCTGAGCTTTGTTGGCAGTCATTGCAAAAACAGGTCTAACCGGAAATTGTTTCCGTCGCAGATGGAAGGGAAATATGTTCTCTGGAGGCATGAGGGGAATCCTTGGGATGAAAAGTCTCTTCCTGACATGTGGACGGCAAGCAACGACAGCATCAAATACGTGTTGATGAAGGAGTTGAACCACATATATCGAGTCCCGTCGGCCGTTTGTTGAGTCCAGATTTCTGAGCAACATGACAATGCTGTCTTTCCGCAATGTCAGTTTGTGGGGTGGCAAACCTGACGGAATATACATCTAGGATACAGAGATTCAGATCTAGAGCCTTGCCCTCTAAAAAAACCTATGCACCACATACGCTCCAAATTTGGAAAAAGTCAATACAACGAAGGGAACATTTAGTGGGTCTAAACAAAGATAGTGAATAACAAGATGGGCCACTCAGCCAAAAAAGTGTCCGCAGGAAGTATGCTCTTTGCTTCAGATGGCGCTGCAGTCTGTTTTGAAGCTCTCTTTCGTTTTTCCAGAAGAAGAATAGGAATAACACGTCCTTGCGTGCGCAGATCGACTGCTGTTCAGTGCGGAGTTTTAGGGTTTTTTATTTTAATGACCTCTCGCCTTTCATTCTAAAGTCAAATTAATCGAAGAAAACCATCACCCTTTTCTCCGGAAGAGGTTTTTTGTCAGCGTAACCATTTTAAAAACGTTTTCTTCCGTAATTTATCCCAAAACTTGCTAGTTTCACTTTCATTTTTTAAAACTCAAGTAGGGTAACTCTGTTCGCAAAAGTGCGCTTTTGTGAAGAGGGCGCCACTAAATTTTGAGGACACTTTTTTTAATGGCTCAAAGAGAGAAGTGGCCCATCTTGTTATGTACTATCATTGGTCTAAACGAACTTAACGTGTAGGGGACATGACTACACCAAATGTATCTAGAAAAAGTCAATACAACGAAGAGAACATTTTGTGGGTCTAAACGAACTTAACGTGTAGGGGACATGACTACACCAAATGTATCTCTAGAAAAAGTCAATACAATTACAATGAAGTTTGGCCGGAAGTATCCGTCGACACTGTGCACGGCGTCACTTTTCGCCCGATTCTGTTACTTTTAGTCAGCGTGACTCAGCAGCCCGCCGGAGCTCCCCGGCTCGGGGTCACG